TCCAGTTCAAGCAGCCCGGCCTGATCAGAGCTACTGGGCACAGTACTCGGTGCCAGGCGGGGTTTGGTATCAAGGGCCTCCAGTGCTTCGGCAGGGAGATGGAGGCAAAGGTGGCGGCAAGCATGACAAGGGCTGCAAAAAGGGCCTTGGGGGGGGCAAGTCCCCTCAGGGTGGCAAAGGGCCAGGTGGTGGGCAACCGCCACGGGCCCTCGCGCAGGAGGAGCGTGAGATGTGGATGGGCATGTCGGAAGAACAGTTCGCCGTTCTGGGTCAAAGCTTGTCGCAGTCGCACAGAGATCAGCTCGCCCACGCGCGTGCCATGGCCAACTTCGGGCTGCAGGGCGCGCAGGCGGAGGCACAGCAGGCCAATTTGCAGATCGGCAAGTTCTCGCAGCAGGTGCTGCATCAAAAGCAGAGGCTCGCGAAGCTGGAGGAGCAGGCGCAGCAGGCGATCATGGCGGCGATCGTGGCCAAGCAACAGTTGCAGGAGACGGAGAAACAGCTGGGCGAGGCCAAGCGGCGCGCGGCCGAGCACCTGGGGGCCCAGGGGCTGGCGCAGCAGATCGCGACCGACGCGTTCGAGGTGCCGATCAAGGAGGCGCTGGGGAAGTTCGAGTAGGCGGTGCCGTCGGAGCTGGCCCCGCAGGTGCAGGGCGCGGTCGACGCGCTCAGGGCGGCCATGGCGGTGTGTGCGTGTGGCGCAGCAGGCCGCGGCGGCGATGCAGGGGAGGCAGCCTGGTGGCGCCGCGGCGTCAGGCGGCACCGTCGGCGCCGCCGCCGCGGGCGCGGGCGCGGGCGCCGCCAGCGCAGGAGGCGCAGGCGCTGGCGCCCAGACGCCAGGCGCCCAGGGCGCCGCAGGCGGCGGCGCCGACACGGAGCGCGACGTCAAGATGGTCGAAGCTGATGGTGGTGTTCTTATTGACCTTCGCTCTCAGCTCGAGTCTGATGGCAAGCTCGCAGATCCCGAAGTGCAGGCCACCATCCAGAGCCTGTTCAGCAAGGCGACCCAGCGCCTTGAGGAGGAGAAGGCTGAGGTGACAAAACGAGACAGGCGCAGCAGGAGCCCAGGATCGAGATCTAAGCTGTCCAGTTCCTAGCCTGTGGAGTTTTTTCTCGGCCATGTCACTAGTTGGCCGAGATGCCAGAGCTTTTTGGAGAAGGAATGTGATGGAGTCACATGTTTCCTGCAGGAGTGCAATGTAGAGAAGGCCAATCTGGCCCAATCCAGCAGCACGCTTTTGAAGCTTGGTTGGAATGTAAGGTTAGGAGCCTGTGAGGTGACCCAGTCTGGAGGCTTGTCTTCGGGGGTAGGAGTCGACTGTAGAATAGGAGTAGACATGGGTACCCTGGAAGGTTTGCCGAGACCAACCTCGAGAGTTGTATCTGCGTGGATTGGTGGACTGCTGAAGGGTGGCATCATTGGGGTCTCGGTCTACTTACCGTCGGGGGAAGGTGCAGGGGCCCAAGGGCGCCAGATCCTGATGCAGCTCGGAGAGTCACTGTATACGTCTGGGGAACCCTTTGTCATTGGAGGGGGTTTCAATGCGACGGCTGATGAAATCAGAGCCCTTGGGATCCTGGAGAAGCTCGGAGGCGTTATTGTCCAGCCTGGGAAGCCTACGTGCAGAGTGGGCAAGGAATGGGGAACGATTGATTTTTTCATAGTCTCAGGAGGACTGGTCCCAGCAGTGGTAAGATGCGATAGGATTGAAGAGACAGGGCTTTCGACGCATTTCCCAGTTAAGCTAGTACTTCGCACGGACTCGCATCTGGCTCAGATTCGCGTGCTGGCCAAACCGCGTCAGTTTCCCGACGAGTTACCAGTGGAACCTGCACCAGGCCCACCGCCAGCTTGGGAAGAGTTGCTAGATAGGTTGGAGACCTTCGTGGAAGGCTCGGTATTCACGGCTGAGCAGGCGAAGGATACGTATGCGGATTTCTGCGCATTGGCTGAGCAGGAGCTGGTTAACACTTACCAGATCGATCCAGCGCAGGCCGATGCGTACAAAGGAAGAGGAGCCCCCTTCAGGTTCGTTTGGGGGCCCGCTCATACGAAAGTCGGAGGCCCCTACCCTCTGGGATCTCCAGTTTCCAGGGCAATGAGGAGGTTTAACGTCAGGATGGAGGAGTTATTGTTTTCGCTCCGCAAGGGCCGTTCAGGCCAGGATAAGCAGGTGCAGGACTTGCTGAAAAAGGCAAGGGGGCCGCCCACGATCCTGTGGGAGTGCGAGCGCTGGGTCAACTGGGGGCATGAGCATTTTTCTCTGGAAGGATACCACGCCGAGGCGCTGCGCGAAGCGATCCAGGACCATGTAAAGTGCATCCAGGGTGAGGGGCAGGTTTGGAAAAGGTCTCGGCAACAAGAGTGGAGACAATGGGCCCGTTCGGCCCTGGAAAACGGCGGAGGGAGAGTTCACAGGTGGACGGGGCAGCCCAACGACTGGATCCCCGCGGACCCTGGCCTCGATGGGGCCCCTGGTGGTTTTCAGGACCAGGTGGAGGCCCTGGAGGAGGAGTGGAAGCACATCTGGAGGTTCGGGGAGGTGCCCAAGGTCGCTCCCAGGATGCTCAGTGAGATGTCCCTCGAGGACCCGAAGCCGCCTGTTGCGCCGGATAAAATCAGGTCCGTCTTGGGGAAGTTCAAGAGGCGCACCGCCGTGGGAGTTTGTAATTGGGCCCCGCACGCGCCGAAGCAGCTCTGTACCTCTGGCCTGCTTGCTCTAAGTGTCCTGGTGTATTTGTGGGACACGCACTCCCAGCTGCCCGAGCAGATTGCGCTGCTCATTTTGCCGTTTTCGCAGAAGCCTGAAGGGGGGAGGAGGCCCATTGGGATTATCTCCACCCCTGTGCGGCTCTATAGTCGGCTTCGTCATGAGGAGGCGGAAAGGTGGGAGGACAAGCACGCGCGCACGTAAATGCGCGGAGGAAAGGGTAAGAGTTGCGAGACGGCTATCTGGAAGCAGGCGCCGTTGAACGATGCCGCTCGAGCCAGCAACTTTTTCAGTGGATGCACGCTGATTGATCTGGAGAAGGCGTACGAACGAAGCACGCACGAGCAATTGATAAGAGCATGCAAAAAGCGCGGGTTCAGTTTGAGGAGGTTAAGGTTTATCCTGTTGGTTTACTCGGGCAAGCGGGTCATTAAAGTAGGAGAGGCGGTGTCTTTGCCCTTTGAGCTGAACGCCACCATTGTGGCAGGCTGCTCGTATGCGACGACGCTGCTGAAAGTAGTGTCGTTAGATGTTTTCGACGCTGCGGCCAAGAAGTGGCCGGGGATCGGCATTTCTTTGATGGTGGGCGACACGGGTCTCCAGGCAGTGGGTGATCAGAAACATGTTCGGACTCAGTTAGTTAGGTGCACTCTGTTTGTTTGCAGGTCCCTGGAGAAGCTCGAGATGAAGGTTTCGAGACGTAAATCGATCCTGGTGGCCTCGGACCCGAAACTTGGAAAGCAGCTGGCATGGGCGCTTCGGGAATTTGGGTTCAAGCATGTTCAGGCGACCGAGAACCTCGGGGTCGATTTCAAGCTGAGGACTGGAAAGGGCAGAATCGTCACAAAAAAGAGATTGAAGACGACCAGGGGCAGGGTGCGAAGGTTCAGGGCTTTCAGATTCTCTCGGAAGCCGCTTCAGAATGTGTATCGAGGAGGCCCCAAGCTGGCGGTAATGCACGGTGTTTCTGTCGCCGGTCTCGGCGACGCGCAGTTGGAGCAGCAGCGTGCGTCGACAGGGGCGGCTATTTCCGGGCCTGTCAAGGGCCGCAGCCGCAGCTTGCAGTTCCTTTTGGCTGAGGTCGAGAAGCTCGACCCGGTGTTCGCAGCAAATTCTTTGCCTCTGCAGATGCGGGTCAGAGCAGTATTTGATTCGTGGGCCACGGATGCCCAGATGAAGCACGCCTTCGACTACGCGGTCAAGGCTAGGTCTCAAGGGTGGAGGACGGTCCTAGGCCCAGCAGGAGCGGTAGTGCTCACCCTTCGAAGGCTCGAGTGGGAAGCTGTCTCCTGGGATGTTTGGGTCAACGCTGACGGAGTGACCATCAACATCAAAGAAGTAGGGCCTAGGACTGTGCAAACCCTAGCGGATGAAGCGACTAGACGGCTGCTACGTATACGTGCGGGAGCTCATTACAATGCCTATTGGGAGCCATATGTGGAGCCTCTGCGTGATGAACTTGCTAGGTTAAGAGGTGCTGGAGATTTCCTTGGGGCCAGTCTGCTTATCGCACAGGTTTCTGGAGGTCTCTGGGCTCAGGCCGACGTGTTCAGGAAGAGATACGTGATTGATGATCGGTGCCAGTGGTGCCTCCAGAAGAGGGGGTCGGTTTTTCACCGATTATGGGGCTGTGACGGCTCCAAGCTGATCAGGAGGGACCATGGCAATAGTGGAATGGG